AAGACGCTTACTCCTTGGAAGGAAAGTTATGACCAACCTAGATAGCATATTAAAAAGCAGAGACATTACTTTGTCAACAAAGGTCTGTTTAGTCAAGGCTATGGTTTTTCCAGTGGTCATGTATGGATGTGAGAGTTGGACTATAAAGAAAGCTGAGCACCAAAGAATGGATGCTCTTGAACTGTGGTGTTGGAGAAGACTCTTGAGAGTACCTTGGACAACAGGGAGGTCCAACCAGTCCATCCTAAAGGAAATCAGTCCTGGGTGTTCATTGGAAGGACTGATATTGAAGCTGAAACTCCAATACTTCGGCCATCTGATGGGAAGAGCTGACTCATTGGAAAAGACCCTGATGCTGGGAAAGATTGAGGCCAGGAGGAGAAGGGGACGACAGAGGACGAGATGGTTGGATGGCATCACCGACTCAATGGACATGAATTTGGGTAAACTCTGGGAGGTGGTGATGGACAGGGAGGCCTGGCGTGCTGCAGTTCATGGGGTCACAAAGACTGGGACACTGAGTGACTGAACTGAAGTATCTAAATGTTAAATTTATTTGTACTGGTTTAAATTGTTATTACCCATTGATCAAAATAAAAATGTATTACATAATTGTTAAATGTTAAATGTAAAAGCAAATTGTTAGTCAGACACTGTTACAATTTACAGATACCAAATGTCAACTATTTGATCCTCACAAGAACCCCATAAAGTAGTCGGCTTACTATCCCCATTTTGCAGAAAAGAAAATGGAAACCCAGAGAAATTAAGTAACTTTCTCAAGGTCTCATATAGGTAACAGTAAAGCTCAGCTTCAAACTATGCATTCTGGTTCGAGAGTCATCATGCTTCTGTCAGTTACACTCACTTAGAGTAAAAAACGTGGGACAAAAGGCCCATTGTAGATATCCCATCAGATAGAATGACCTCAAGTCTACTTATGCTTTGCATTTTTATGAACGTTAAGTGTAAGAAACTTTGTTCACATGAACGGGTGGGTTGAAATGGAGAGTAGAACTCTAGTACCATCACACAATCCCTTGACATTCTTCTGAGTTATATTCCATGTTATGTAGTGACCTATAATCAAAAATTGTTTTTAATGACTTATCAGCTGACAACTCAGTTAGATCCTTAAGTTTTATTGAAAGCAAAGAATTGACTCAGTAAGGTGTTATTACTGTCATCCATCATTCACTTTCTTAACTCACTTCCAATTGATTGAATTTTTCCTTTAGCAACTCATGTTTATATGCCAGGGTAAAGCACCTTAGTACCATTCAGTCTTAGGTGGGGGAGATGACAGACATCCCTTGATTCTATAAAGCAGAAGGTTCTATTAAGAAGGCTGGTGTGATCAGGCTGGTAGGACAAAAGCTGGCATGTCCATCAGAGATATATTCTCAGATCAGTTTTAAGGAAAAGGTACATGGAAGTCAGAGATTTGAAACTGTATTCCCTTATGTGTTATTCAGCCTCTCATACCCCTTGGCAAGTCTTCATATCCTCTAATTTGAAATTCACTGGGTTTGAATATAAAATACTACGGTCTTCTTGGAAGGTAGTTTGGAGATAACATTTCAAAATGTTAAATACACAAAAACATTGACCTAGAAACTCAATATAAATATTTCTAGAGGTGCAAATGAATATATTACAAGGTGTTTAATTGCAGCTTGATTTATCATGGCAACAAGTAAATAATTCCATGATAGTCAATAGAGGACTGGTTAATCTAATATGAAATACCATATGCCATCATTAAAAACAATAAGCTGATCTGTATAGACACAGGTGCATGGTATCATACTAAGAGGAGAATGAAATTAGTTCCAGAAAAATAAATATGTCTCATTTTTGCAAAAGAATGTACATGTGCATATATATAGGGTACACAAACATATATGTACACACATGTTATCTTTGTATATCCATAGATGATCATCTGAAAAGATACAGTCAATGCTATAAATAGTGACTGTCCTTGGGGAGCAGAATGAAGGGGAATTATGAAAATGCTCTACTGTTTAAATTTTCGTAAGCATAATTTTATAATTTTAAGAAGTCGATAAAATGACAAGAAAGGAGTGATAACTAAAACTGAAGACTTTAAGATATAGTCTTACTTAATATTTTTATGTAAAATAAAATTTTGAGTGTGCAAATCATTCCACATGTTTTTTCCTTCCTTCAGTCACTATTTACCCTGTCATAAGCACTGTGTTGGCAATCAATGGTGCATAAGAATCCTGCTCCTTATAAACTTGTAAATTCAATAGATAAAAATTCTTTATATTTTTTAACTCCTCCTTTGTTTACAGGAATCCAGCATATTCCAAACTAGTGATGTTTGTTCAGACAGAAATGAGAGGAAAATTGGCCCCATCGATAATTGAAGCAACCATGCCTTCCAATTTAGTAAGCTTCATGCTCAATGTAAAAGATGGAATAAAGACACAAAAAATTCCATCAAGACATGGATATCATCATAATGGGCATTCATCATTCCTAAAGAAGAAATGAGGCCATTTAAAAATCATGTATGGCAATTACAGCCTTTTGCTTCTAAGTCAATATGCATAAATACTGTGGCACTCTTCTAAACAGTATTCTTGAACAAATTACTGAAGGTACTTCGTGAAAATAAGACCACATAGTTGTACAAGAGAACAGCATTAAATATTGTTTTTAATCTCATATAAGAATGTTAAATAACAAGGGTTCTTAATGTACTTTTATCTTTTGCTTTTTCCCCTGTAAAATTCTCTGCAAAAAAGCATCAATAAGAAAGCATATGCAATCAGAAGTCAGCATTAATTAAAGATTAAAATATATTTTAAATTGTTTTTCTTTTACTTCTTAAATCGATAACTGTAGGAAACATGAACCTAAAAATTGAAAAGAAGTCCACTAGAATGTTTGACAGTTGATGTCTGGAATGTGCAGGCTTCCCTGATGAATCAGTGGTAAAGAATCCGCCTACCAATACAGGAGAGGTGGGTTTGATGCTTGGGTCAGGTAGATCCCCTGGCGGATTGCATGGCAACCCACTCCAGCTTTCTTGCCTGGGAAATCCTATGGACAGAAGAGCCTGGCAGGCTGCTGTCCATGGGGTCACAAAAATCTCGTACACGTCTCAGTGACCAAACAACAATCTGGCATCAGGAGCTGAATCATTAATCAATTTCTGGTCTGGCCAGAATGTGGTAGCCATTCCTCCTAAAACTAGAAGACCATGCACTCACCAGGCAAGCATAGGAAGACTCCAGCTTATCCGGAACGAAGGCGGCAAACTAGTCAAGGACCTGGGGGCCTGAGGGATGTCCTAGCAGAGAGTTCTCTGGGTTCCCTTATTACCATATGTATATTCGAGACACTGACTTTTCACCAGTCAGTCTCCGGCGTCACCGCAGCCCAGAAAATGCCGAGCCGCCCGCCCCACCCATCTGTGATGGCCTCCCGTCTGTGGTGAGTTGAGTGGTGACCCCAGAAGGTATGTCCTTGTCAAATCCCTGGAGCCCTGTGACCTTATTTGGAAGAAGGATCTCGGCAGATGTAATTAAGAACCTCAGAATGAGGTCACCCTGGATCATCTGGGTGGGCTCTCCATCCAACCCCAAGTGCGCCGGAGGAAATGCACGTGGGAGAGCCGTGTGGAGAAGAGGTGGCCGTGTGAAGACGGGCAGGGATGATGTGCTGCGACCTCAAGCCGAGGGACCCCCGGAGCTGCCAGAGGCTGAGAGGGAAACGAGGACTCTCCCCTAGAGCCTTCAGCCTGAGCGTGACCCTGCGGATGCCTGGATTTCAGACTTCCGGCCTCCAGAATGGAGAATACATTTCTGTTCCTCCAAGCCACCAAATTTGTGGTCATCTGCATCACTTAAGGAAACCGGTGCACCCCAGCTGCAGTCAGCAGGGCTCGGCGGGAATCTGGGCCTCCGCTCCTAGATGGCATCGGGAAGGTGAAACCAGATGTGGGACATGAGGACGGTCAGCACTGCATGTCTCCTTCCTGCCCTGGTGTCCTCCGGACCAAGTGCAGAGCTGAGCTTGTATTTGCGATTGCAGGCAACAATTAATGCAAATCAGGGCCCATTCCTGCCCCCTCACGGCTCGGTCAGTCTCGGTTCAGCAGAGCGGTGAGAGCTGGGCCGGGCGGGAAGCTGAGTGCACGCTCCCACCAGCCCTCCGCGATACCGCAACTAGGAGACTGCCTGCTGAGACAGAAGGTTCAATCGGGCCCACAGTCCTTCGGAAAGCAAGACCAGAGTGGGTAAAAAGAGGTGAAAATGTCATTAATGTATCCTTGGGAGTACATTAAAGCACATTCGATGGTTGTGTGTGCATGCTCAGTCGTGTCCAACTCTTTGTGACCCCAGGGACTGAAGCCTGTTTCCTCTGTCCATGAGATTTTTCAGGCAAAAATACCATAGCCGGTTGTCATTTCCTCCTCCAAGGGATCCAACCTGTGTCTCCTGCGTCTCCTGCATTGGCAGGCGGATTCTTTACCACTGAGCCACCTGGAAGACCCCCATCTGATAGTCAGCGAAGGTGGGAAAGCAACTCAGGGCAGGAAGAACCACCTTTCAGCAAACGGTGTTGGGTAGCTGACATCCGAAGACCTAACCTTGCACTTTATACAAAAATTAACATGGAGCAGGGGCTTAAATGTAAAACATTAAATTATAAAACTTGGGAGAAAAATCTTCACAACCTACAGCTAGGCAGAGTTCTTACACTGGATACCATAAGTATGATTCATGTACGGAAAAGTAATAAATTAATCATCAAAAGTTTTGCTCTAAGAAAGGCCTTATGAAGAGGTATTATGAAAGATGTCATCTGTAGTAACAAAAATCCCATATAACACAAGTTTGAAGGTAATACTGTCATCCAAATAATATGAAAAATAAAAATAATCTAAATTCTAAACTGATTTTTAAATCTTTTAAATAATCTAATAATGCAACTCTAATAATCTCAGATACTCAGACATTACTGGAATTACCAAAATAAAATGTTTATATTGAATCAAAGAAATGCTTATTCCCTATGCACCTTCATAGCTTGGACCCTATCTAACCATGATGTTGGACATGTAATGTTAATGAACCAGAACAGTGCAACATGATTATATCAATTAAGAAAATATTTGGCTGCAAAAAGAAATAAAGGACTTTCAGAGAACACACGGTTGAGCAGCTTACTGCTCTCATACAGAAGTCTATGATAACTAAGACAGGGGAGGCTCTTTACACCAATTCTGCTTTGCTGACAGCTCCTTTCTGTCCCAGTGTTTCAAGCAGAACAAAGAGGGGTAAAAGCAAAAAGACATTTTATTTGATTTCACCCTGTTACACGGTTTTTTGGAAACCCCCTCATTCAGTCAAAGATGCTCACATCTCATTAGCCGAGAGTGGAACACATGGCCATGCTTGGTATTTAAAGGTATTCCAGCACCTGTGGTAGAAAAATACCTGTGGTATTCCCCACCTGTGGGGTGGGGGTGGGGTTCCACTGGAGTGCAGAAATAAAATAGTACAACTTCTATTTATATTTAAAAAAAAAAATAAACCGCTAATTACTAACATACTGTGTACATTGACTCCAGCGTCACACCTCGCCATTTATGGAGTCCTGAGACACATACATCATATGTGCTTAAATTTTTCAGAAATCTACATTTTAAAGTTTGACAGGGTGCAGGAAAAAATAATTTGTTTTGTCAGCTTCTGGACGATACCTGCAGACACTATATTGTACACCTTCTCTACACAGGTTCAAGTGGCACATATAATGATATTACTTCTTTGGACATAAAATCTGGGAGTTTAGGGTTTATAGCTTTGACAAATATCAAAAATCCTTTTTAAAAAATGGCAGTCTATAATAAATCATTTTAATAAGTTGCTTTCAACTTTATCCTCCACTTGAAGGTTGTTTTGGGACTTAATTGAATAAAATAAGTTGTTTTCCAATGCCATTTTTTCACTAATGCTTTCTTCACATACTTTATCTTTTTCATAAATTAAGGTGACTTCTGTACACTACTGTAGATTATCATGTATCAAGTGCAACAATTATGATGTATAACAATCACAACGCCTCAGAGGCATACAATTAACTTTATTTATCCCATGTCTCGCATTGGCTGTGGGTCATCCGAGAAAGGATGGCCTGGGCTGGAACAACTGGAGTGAGGTCACTCTGCTTCCTGAGTCTCCATCCTCCAGTGGGGATGGAGCTGTTCTCACAATGAAGGCAAAGGAGCAAGGAAGGAAGTGGAAAAAACCTCAAGTGCTTTTTCAAGCCTAACATCCCATTGGCAAAGCATGTCACTTGGCTAGACTCAAAATCCATAAGCAAGGAAATAAAACCTGCCTTTTAGTGAAACTGTAAAGTCACACAGTAAAGGAGCATGAATACAAGAGGTGTGAAAGTGAGACCGTTAATCTTGATGTCCGACCCATGCTCACACCTCACTTTGCCACCTTGTTAACCGGGGCAGCTGGAGAGTAAGAGGGCAAGTTTTCCACTTGAGTTCTGGCTCTTTCTATTTCTGCTTGCAACCTAACCATCTCCTCTCTAAAGCTCAACTCTTTCTTGCATGTAGTACTTTAACCCATATAGCTGAAAGCCACCAGGTGGCGCTTTAGACATTTTGCCTGGAGATAACCTTTCATTAGGTAACCTTTCATTAGGTATGTTTTCCAAGGTACCATACGCAGCTGTTTTATCAAATGTTTCGTAAAAGCTTTTTAATAAAGAAACTTCCGCATCATTCTTCCAGCCTCAGCTAACAGTTTTCTCAACTCCCTACTGAAGCCAAAGGCACATTTTCAGGGCTTTGTTGGTTGGTGACAGCTCCCCACTTCTTGAATTTTGTAGTAGTTACCTATTAACAAAACGATGCCACAAAATAACCACACATTTTTTGTTGACTCAGAATATTTACCATAAAGTTATCGAGTATTTGCACTACCTCAACATTCATATTAACTGTCAATATCTTTCCCTACTCAATAACTGAAAATTGTTGTCACCAATATATAGCTTTCATAACTATTGATTAGCACATTTACTTTGCAATAATTACAAATGCATACTTTGACTAATGGAACTTGGTGACATCTAGAATGCTTACCTATATTTGAAAGTGAATAATACTGAGATGCTCATAATAAATCTAAGTGTGATAATAAATGCTTATAATAAATCTCAATCAGCAGATTAACACTGATATGATGTTAACCTACATAATCACAGAACTGCTCCAAACCAGTGCTGAGCCATACTTTGGAGTCTTCTAGAAATATCCTCTATGCCTTGCAAATTATAAAACGTCCACAATCTTATATCCGATTTTTAATCTTAGAAGGCACTGGGACAATGGGGAACAGCGGATACCATCAGTGTAGTCACTGTGTGTATCTGCTGGGGTGTGACAGCCTTAATCTCATCTCTAAATCTCCATCTACAAAATCGTAGAGAAGATTAACACATCCAATCCCTTGCTTTTTTTAAACCTTACAGACGGGCCAGAGGAAGTGGACTTCTATTATCTGACAGTCCTAAAGACAGATCACTTTGAATTTCTGGTGTCATCCTTCCCTTAATCAACTTGTATGGAGAGTTCCTTCCAGTTCTTTACAACATATATATTCCACCACCCAATTCTTCATGGGGCCTGTGCCACACAATTCATCCATTCAGTGTTTACTGAGCACCCTCTGGGTGCCAGGCATTGTGGTAGGTTCTAGGTATACTAAGGAGCATTAATTGAATATGCACTGCTTTTAAAAATCAATTTACCAAATGGTACATATTACCAAGACCTATACATTTTTAGCAGCTTAGCTGGCAATAGAATTTCTTTATGGCTATTTCCTAAAAGAGGTGAATTTCTTTTTTTTTTTTTCCTTTATTTTTATTAGTTGGAGGCTAATTACTTTACATCATTACAGTAGTTTTTGTCATACATTGAAATGAATTAGCCATGGATTTACATGTATTCCCCATCCCAGTCCCCCCTCCCACCTCCCTCTCCACCCGATCCCTCTGGGTCTTCCCAGTGCACCAGGCCCGAGCACTTGTCTCATGCACCCAACCTGGGCTGGTGATCTGTTTCACCCTGGATAATATACATGTTTCAATGCTGTTCTCTTGAAACATCCCACCCTCGGTGAATTTCTTGAGCAACTCTGTACTTCATAGGAAAAAGCCCTGTTCTTTGCTCTAGCATAGCAATGATTTGGCTACTCTATTTTTTATACACAATCATATATATCTTCCTCCCAATGTTTCCATGATGTATGGAAAATATACTAATGCTGATCATGATACTCTCTTTATTGAAAAGCAATATAAAACATGTTAGGAATGAGAGGAAGGTAATATTTTACATTATTTCTGTTATATTTTTATGCTTTGTGCCAGAATTTCTTCCCATGTTTGCTTTATCTAGAACATTTCATATTACATTTCTACATTATTGAAAGTATTAGTGTTTAATTTATAAGAGCTTAATAAACTGCTAATCTGAGAACAACCGTCTTTCCCTTTTGTGGAGCATGCTCATTTATGTACAGTGTGGAAATCTCCCCGTTCTCTTCCAATCAGCCAACAGCTCTTTTTGTACCTCTTCCGGCAGTTCATAGAAAACTTCAGGATCAATGTCAGAAGGAAAAGTAATTTTCTCATCAGAAGACTCTTGCTGTCTATTTTCTTTAAGTCCTTCATGATGAGAGACTGTTGGCACTGGTTGCTTATGGCTGTCTGTGGTACGGTTTTTGGAGAAAAGTTGCTCACTCTGCAAATTTGGAAATGAATGGAAAACAGATACAGCAGGGTTTGTATTTGAAAAGTGGAATCCTTGACATTCTTTAGGTCCTTGACTCATTCGTTCATCTTTTAAGCTACTGTCTAAATAATGTGAATAATCCTTTTGGCTAGACACATAAGAGGAACTGCTACCGCCTGATGTTCCTGGTTCACAGGGAGATACAGAGGAGACCTGTGTGCTTTTGGGTACATGATCTTTAGGATTTAAGGAACTATCCTGCTTTTGTTTCTTAGAAAAGAAAGATAATACTCCTCGAGAAGCATGTAATGGACAACTCAAACTTCCTTTTCCTTGAACTTTTTCTCGAGATTTCCCAGAAAGGATTTCTTCTTGAATATCTACAGGAAGCTGCTTGAAGACTTCTTGGTCAATATCCTCAGGAAGTGAGGAGAGGGGAAATTCATTATTGTCTTTTTCTTTGGAAGAATTTGTGGGATCTGGTGGAGACTCCCCAGTTCTTGTACTTTCCATCCTTCCGGTTGGTAGAAAATCCCGATTTGTTTCCTTGTCTTTAGAAAAATCCTCCATATGACAGTCTTTCATTTTCTAGAATGTAAGGATAACAGAGTAATTTAGGTATCTGATATCTTTTAAATATTCATGCTGCTGAAGTATAACTGTAGCTATTATGGAACCAATATGCTTCTATCCTACTCCATAACTTCAGTCCTTCTGGACAGTTCCAAACAACTAGAAATGATTAATCCACCACAATTAGTCACACTGCTGTGTGGACCTTTGCTCACTATTCCAGGAAGAGGGCTTCCTCCCTAGACAGCACTGAGCCAGAAGGTAGGTATGTATCTGGAGACCTGGAAAGGACCTTAACAATCATGTATTCAAACTTCCAATTGTGAGGATAAGAGAATGGTGGCCTATACAAATGATGACTACCAATGACTCAATCTAAAACATGTATGTGCACAGATAGCATCAAGGACTGATTTTCTAAAATTCTCTACTTTGAAGTGTAACATTTAACAGAAAAAAAAATATCTCTATGATAAAAATCCAATATCATTTATAAGATGTAACACTCTTTTATATGTACCTGAAATAAAAATTTTAAAACACCTTCCATTTTAATGTGCATAATTTTCCCTCTAGTTTTAAGCACCATAAAAAGTGTATAGATAGTCAAATATAATTCAAGAAACATCAACACAACAGTAATTTCAAAAAAATAAAAGTAGAAGAGATTTGGGCCACTGTATTTATTGAGCACCTATTGTGTGCCAGACATGAACAAGGTACTTCCACTTATTTTTACCCCTCTAATTCTACAGTGAATTAAAGACCTTTAATCCTCATTCTACAGACTAATTTTAAAAAGTAAACATCTTTTAAAATTTCAGTTAATAAAAAGGGTCACTGAAAAAAAGTACTTTGAAAATGGCATTAATTCAGTATTTCCATAAAACTATCCTGTTCTCACTATAGGCTTAAAAGTAACTGAAAATATTACTAAAATTATACCAACAATAACAATAAAGAAAATAACAAAAACATTTAAATTAAGAGTTAACTGTAGGCATAAATAATTTAGTAAAAGATTATTTTTTAAAGCATCCCATATTTGGTAAACAGAAGTTTACAGAATGGCCATCATAGCATTTTCTTTAATCATTTGAAATTATGACTGACCTCTGCCTCTCTATTACCATACTCTTAATTTCTACAATTATAAAGTGAGTATTCATACTCTATCAATATTGCTACCAGAATTCAATATAATTTCAAAACCAAAAAAATTTAAATACTTGAACAAAAACTTTGGTGTGGGGGAGCTGCTGGTAGCTTCTGTATAAACTGACAACAAGATTCAATTTCTAGTATTTGAAAGTATTTTCATATGTGCTCACCATCATATTCCTATATACTGTTAAAAAATGTTTTAACAGTTCCAAAACAGAGTACCTCTATCAAGGTTTTCTCTTTTATCCAGTGACACTTATGTTTTACTTTTAGACCACAGTACAATATACTTAAGGCTAGTAACCATAATATGAAAGATACTATTAATATATATAAGTAAGTCATTCAAATCTCATCCCCCAAAATTCTCTAAATTATATCAGTTAAACACAAATTTATATTTGCAATTTAACTATACAAATCCAATAACAGTGTACTTACAAAACTGCGCTTTCCAGCGTGTGAAGTTGTTGATAATGAAGGTGTTAAATAATAATCAATAGTCCCTTTCTTAGCAGTATTTAGGGATTTGAGGTTGCAGAAGCACACACTTAATAGGGTAAGATGAAATGGCATCTTCACATTCACCATATTTCGAAAAAGTTTCATAAGGGTATCAACCATTGGGGTCATCACATCATAATTTCCTAAATAAAATGTGCAAGAAGACAATATCTAAACATACTATGTTATAAATTAATGTTAAGAGCTTAATCTAATTTGTATTGCCTAGATTAAGAAATTAAAATCCTAAATAGGTATCATTGGGACACCTTGACATTATATACTGAACTGGGACATCTCAACATTAACACCAACTGCCAAATGAGTTGAACTTTCCAGAGGATTTGAAATATTGAACTTTTAGTTGTGGGAGAATGTGGAGGTTGAAAAATCTCCGCATAAAATTAAAACTGAACAAAATGGTCAAAATAATCATTTTGAAATTCTGAAATGAACCACAGGTGAAAAAACTGAGAAGCACTGACTTATGAAAAACTGCCAGAACTTAGGTAAGAAAATGGGGACAGCAGCCTTCTTGGCTGGAGTCGTTTGTATCCCCCACTCACAGAGGGCGGCTGGGATAGTAGTTTCGCCAGGATGAGGCTGGCTGTCAAAGCCAGCAGCTTTGCTGCCAGCAGAGACTGACCTGATTTGAGGAAGAGGGCAAGAGCCCACAACCATCAGTGACGCCAGAAAAATGAGCACACGGTAGGAAACAAATAAAATCACATGGCTCGTGAGCCCGGGACTGCCACTGTGGTTGGGATGAGTCAATGATCAGTAGACCAGACATAACATCTAACCAGGAGATCTGGAAATGAGAGAAGCACAGCCGACTGAGCGCAGAGAAGGCCTCAGCTCTGCATGCGTCTCTGCCGAGAATGGCAACCAGCACAGCGGGGAGACGCAAGAGGCGGGAGCAGAGGACGAGGCGCCGCGGTGCTGCGGAGAGCCTCCATTTCCAAGGTGTCCTCCCACCCAGCACACCTCCCTTCACAGACCAAAGCCTTCCAGCCCGCTGTATTTGAGCAAACTTTTGACCAATTATTGTCTAACTACCAATCTATGCAGACAACAGGGTAACCACCTAGGAAGCCAAAATAAATGTTTTTAATTTTAATTTCAAAAAGAACCTAAGCAGAGAAATCAGGGCAACACATCACAGGAGAGGTAGATTTTGCAGCTTAAGTCCAGAAAAGTTACAAACAAAGAAAAGGAAAAAAAAACAAAATGCCCACAGGGGGAAAAATCCAAATTGAGAGTTTTACATTCTTTAAAATGTCCAATCGTCAACAAAATATTACAATACATACAAAAAAACAGCAGCGTGGTTCATACTCAGGGGGAAAGACCAGTCAATAGAAACTGACTTTAAGTATGATTTAGCAAAGACTTCAAAGTTGCTACTGCTTTTCTCATGATTTTTTAATTTCATTTTCAAATTTTCGGGTGCACTGGGTCTTCAGTGCTTCACTTGGGCGTCCTCCAGCTGTGGTAAGCAGGGGCTACTCTCGAGAGGTGGTGTCTGGGCTTCTCCTTGCTATGGCTTCTCTTGTTGCAGAGCGCCAGCTCTAAGGTATGCAGAAGTTGGGGCGCAGGGGCTTAGTGGCCTCATGACATGTGGGATCCTCTCAGACCAAGGGTCGAGCCCATGCCCCCTGCAAAGGCAGGTGGATCCTTAACTACTGGACTATCAGTGTGCGTGCACGCACACTAAGTTACTTTAGTCATGTCCCACTCTTTACAAGCCCATGGACTTAGCCCACCAGGCTCCTCTGTCCATGGAATTTGCCAGGCAAGAATACTAGAGTGGGTTTCCACACCCTCTTCCAGCTATTTTCCCAACCCAAGGATCGAATTCCTGTCTCCTGCGGCTAACACACCTATAGGACAATGTCAAGCATATGTGCAATGCAAGTCCCAGAAGGAAGAGAAAGAAAAAGGAAAGAATATTTGAAGAAATAAGAGCCCTTAACTTCCCAAATTTCATTTAAAAATTTAGTCTACAGAATCAAGAACCTCAATAAATCCCAAGTAAGATAAACACAAAAAAACACTGGAGAAGCGAATGGCTACCCACTCCAGTATTCTTGCCTGGAGAATTTCATGGACAGAGAAGTCTGGCAGACTCAGTCCATGGAGTCAAGAAGAGTCAGACACGACAGGGACTAACACACATACAGTCAAACTGCTAAAACAAGAGAGGTAAGTGACTCACTCATCACATAAAGGAGAACAATGATATGACTATGCCTGGTAACAATTTACTGCCTCTCAACTCCAAATCACACTTAGTACCTGCTGTGATAATGGGGTAGACTCTGAAATTCTTTTTTATGTTAAACATAATTCTTAAGCTTTGCAGTAGAGAACTGGAGGATCATTAAATTAGAAAAGGGGCTTCTTTTCCTGTTCCAGTGCACTGTTCTTGACTTTTTCTTGCTCGTGTAACATGGCCTGCGTGCAGTACACACATGTGGAGATACCTACTAGCGCTCTGCCACACCACATGTGCGTGGAAGGCTCGGCCCCTCAGCAGCCCCAGCCCCAGTTGAGCCCAGTGACCGTGTTCCCGAGGCACCACCTCAGACCCTGCACACAGCAGGCCTGTGCCTCGCCCGCAGCCCTTCCACACACCCAGCTCACAGGCCTGCCCTGCCCCGTGGGCTGTTTCCTCCAGCCCTTCCTAGGCAGGCACCATGCCCTCCACCCTTGTGCTGGCACAAAAACGAAGATCCCACTGATCTCAGCTTGCCCACATCCTAGAGGACTGTCAACAGAAGCCCTCCCAGCACGGACGCCTGCGAACCCCAGCTCACGCGCTGCTCTGCCAGGGAGCAAGCGCCCACGGCCGCCTGTGTGCCCACCAGTCAGCCACAGCTCCTTTGGGGGCCAGGGGGTGCTTTCCCTTGGCCCAGTAACTACGGAGCCGCTCTGGGCCAGGCAACTCACAGGCTTTCTCCACCATCCAGGGTTCCGCAACCACATCTTCTCCTGGAGGGGAGGAAGACTTGCTTTCCAAGTCTGCTCCTCCTTGGCCACTTTTGCTTGGCCCCAGGGTACCTCTTAAGGGTATCTTCATATCTTTGTAGTTACTCCCCATCACAGTGTAGCCATTGTCGAAACCTTCATTGTTCAAATTTCTGTGTGGTTATGCTCTCTTGATTGAAACTAGTGACAGGAATCTCTGCTGATTAAACAGCTGCCTCTTCATCAAAAATAATGGAACACAAAGCAGTGGAATACCATACTCAAAGTATGCAAAGAAACCAATCAAAAATTACATATCCAGACAAACTGTCATTCAAAAAATGCTATTTTAGAGGAAGAGGCCACAAATTTTAGTTCAGTAGAATGGTATGACAGTGTTGCTCAACTCTTCTTTTCAAATGCAAATCCTAGAACATGCTCCAGGACAGACCAGAGGCAAGGCCACAAAAGAAACCTCAATAAATATAAGAGGATTGAAATTACTCAAAGTATTCTTCTCTGGTCAACATAAAGACAGATTGGAAATCAACAACAAAAGGTTATTTGAAACATAATCAAATATTTGTAAATTAAACAGCCAATTTCTAAATAAGTTTGAAATCACAACAGATATTAGAAACTATTCTGAGCTTAATGAATAAGAAACACAACACAACTTATGGAATACAGCTAAAGCACTGCTTAAAAGGAAATGTGTAACTTTTAACTTGAATTATTAGAAAAGAGGTAAGTATAAAAGAAATAAAGTAAGCTGCCATCTTAAGAACCCAGGAGGAAAAGGCAAATTAAACCTAAAGCAAGCAGAAAGAAGGAAATAACAAAGATCAAAGTAGAAATAAACGAAATACAAAGCAGAAAGAAAACTGAGAAATTAATGACACCAAAAGCTGAATCTTTGAAAAGATGAACAAAACTGATAAACCTTACTGGAATAACAAAGGGGAAAAAAAAAAAGAAATTATCAAAATCAAGAATGAAAGAGAGGCTATCACTGTAGACCCTATAAAAATGAGAATTACAAGGGAATATTAACAATTCATGATACTAAGTTACACAACCTGGATGAAATGCATACATTCTGAGAAGATACAAATTACCAAAACTGACTCAAAATGAATAGAAAATCAGAAAAAACTCATAACAGAGAAATAAAATTCCTTTAAAAAAAAAATCTTTCCACAAACAAAGCCGAGGACCATGAATAGCCAAATCAACTTCATAAAAGAACAAAGCTAGAGAACTTACATTACCTAATTTCAGAACTTACAACAAAGTATCAAGACAGGGTGGAACTGGAATAAGCATAAGTATACAGATCAATGGGAAAAGAAAGGCAAAAAAGAAAGCCTTACATTTATGGTCAGCTAGTTTTTGACAAAGATGACATGGCAATTTAATGGGGAAAGAACAGTCTGTTGACAAATTCTATGGAACTAGTGGATACTCACATGCAAAAGAATAAACTAAAACTCTTACTTTACACAACACATAAAAATTAATTCAAAGTGGATTTAAATATAAATCTTAAAAGTATAAAATTTCTGAAAAAAAAGCGTAGGAAATATTTATAATCTTTGCATTAGGCAAAGAATTTTTAGATATATCAAAAGTAATACCCATAAAAGAAGAAAAAATAATGAAAGACCACTACATAGTTATGAGAATGAGTCAAGAAAATGATAGTATCAAAACATAAATGAGAATATGAAAAACCTGAAAGCCTCTGTACTCTGTGGCTGAATATCTACCTTGTTATACTCACTTTGGGAAAAAATGTGGCAGTTTCTTAGAGTTCAACTACCATACAACCCAGAAATTCCATTCTTTGTAATCTACCTAAGATGAACAAAAGCATATATCTGCCTGAAGACTTGCACTCAAATGTTCACCCCATTTTTTAGAACAGGTGAAAAATGGAAACAATCTAAATGCTCATAAAGAAATTATCTAATGCCATATAATTAATTTTCATAGTTTTGTTTTCTTTGGAGTTGGGAAGCATTCTCAATAGGGTATTTACTTTTAATATCTACTGAAATAACACAAGTTTTCAATGAAAATTTCTTATAGAAAATAAAGTACTTAATAGCTCACTAACTGCATGTGAGTATTACCCANTTTAAATATATAAATATATAATATATATTTATGTATAATATATACATATAAAATATACACACAATATTTATATACTTAATGTATATATTTATATATTATTTATACAGTTCTATATAATATACAATGTATAATAATAATATATAATATACAACATAATACATAATATTCATAATATAATTATGAATGTATATTATATTATAGTTATATATCTTATTTTGTTTTATATTTATTATATATATTATATATGTAATCATATATCATACATGATATATATTTAACATATCATATATTCTATATAATATATATATTATATAATAATATTCTATATAATATACTATATATTATGTATAATAAATAATAATATAATAAAAATAAATTTTAAATTTTAATTTATCTTGAAGTTTTAAATGTAAGGATCTCAGGCCTCACACAGAATTGAGTGCTATCAGGGAAAAAGCAGAAATAAGATACAATTATAACAAGCCATTTTATTATTCAAATCCAAATCATAACTAAAATAACATTAAAATCAGCAGGAAATTTAAGAAACTGAGAATCATTTACTGACAGAAGCAAATATATGAAAAATGACAAATTTTTTACACATTAAAAAGTAAGACTACAAAAAGAAAACAAATATTTAATGAAATTATTTCTGTCAAAAAGCACTTCTCAAATATATCCAAGGGAGTCAGTAATATCACCATTATATGGCATATTAGAGCAATAATGTGAAAGATCAAGCATATTAGAGCAATAATGTGAAAGATCAACGATATTTATATTTAGGAAAGTAAGCACTCGTCCACGAATCTTAAAAGTGATCCATCCAAATGATCTTGGTTTTGGTGTTGAAAAGTTTTAATGCCATGGAAAATTCGCTTAAAAAATAGAAAATCTAATCACTAACAGAAAATAAATGTCATCAAAAAATAACATTTACCTTATATGTATGTCAATGCACTAAAAGATCACAAAGATAAAATACAAACAGTATTAAGCATAATCAAATTGATTTTGAATTAGAATATTTAGATTTTTGTAGTAAGCATTTTTTTTATTGCTTAATCACAAAACTTGACTGCTGTTTTATTAAGATAATAAAATATCTCAACTGGTTCCTATAAACATGTTACTAGTTTAAACATCTTCCAATTAAACTTGTTCTGTTAAGTTAATATGCAATTCCAAGAGTGTGATTTGGCTCCTATAACTAATTAAGACATACAAAAAAAGGGTTATACTCTAAGCAATCTTAAGGCCAGTGCCTAGAGAAAGGATTAAACAATGTATGATTTTATACCTCTTACATACCTATAGTATTAATAATCATATGCTCGAGAACAGTCACACATACGCAGTTACCTTTTTTTTTTTTTTTGCCAGCTAGATGGCATTATAAGCCACTATATAGAAGAGGGCAAGCCAAGCAGAGATAAGGAGACATAGCTAGTAGTATTTCATAGGTTTAGGGCATCTAGACTCATTTATAGACTTCCCTGTAGCTCAAACAGTAAAGAATCTGCCTGCGAGGCAGGACACCAGGGTTCGATCCCTGGGTTGGGAAGTTCCTCTGGAGAAGGGAATGGCAATCCACGCCAGTATTCTTGCCTGGAGAATTCCATGGACAGAGAAGCCTGGAGGGCTACAGTCCATAGGGTGGCAAAGAGTCAGACATGACTGAAGAGACTTAGCATGCAAATGCCAAGAACAGATGGTTAATGAGTAATCCAGCAACTCACACACAAGATTTTTTTTTTCCCTTGGCAATACATCACTGTTTCAGTCCCACTGAAATATCCAGGAATTGATAAAAATTCATTATTTTCCTATAAAATTGTCCACCAGCAGCGCCTGTCCTTCCTAGGCTAGATTACTGTTTTCCCATATATTTCCCATTCTCCTAGAACTTTCTTCTATATAGTCTGCATTTACTTGCTATTAGTTATAATGCAAGAAGAGTCTGTATTCTGCAAGCAGAGTCTAAAGATGGCTGGGGATGACCTAGGAGGATTATCAGGAGTATTCCTAACAATTCTTTTTAACTGAAATCTCATTAACTTCAGACATATTCTTTATCCTTAGAAGCCCATTCCCCATCTATACTAGTGGCTTTAATAAAGAAGCATTCAGCATCCAGAATAGGAAAGGAGGAGGTAGCCCCACAGCCAAAATCTGAGCCACAGTTCAAACTCCCATTTTCATTTCTTAAACACTCACAGGCCATCAGATGTTAAGAATTCTTACAGGCAATTCCAGTACCAGAAGCTTCCACTCTTAATCACCATCTGCACTCACACTCATGNGTATGCTGCGATTCATGGGGTCGCAAAGAGTCAGACACGACTGAGCAACTGAACTGAACTGAACTGAACCCTGAGCATACACACAATCACCCTCACTGCTCACACACAGTCCCATTAAGTCATTCCTTCATCTGACTCTATACTCTGAGGCACAGGAGATAAAAGGGTTCTGCTTTCTCCATCAATTGACTATCCTCAATCATCACAAATTTTAAGTGTAGTGATTCCAGAGATACCCACAAAACTCCCTTAGGTAATGATCAGCAGCTTAAGATCCACAGTGAACCACAATGTTACTAATATTAAGAGCAGTGGAAGGATGAATTAAATTTAGTTAAGAACATGTGTTACTACCTTTGTAATACTTTATAATGTGGAGAGGTTCAAAGATAGATGATCTTTACATGTTTAGTCTCCAATTAATCTGTAAATTCCAAGAAAGAACATCAAATACAGTAAATATATAGTATTACCATGTACTGTACAGAGAATCTGTAAGATAATATGGCAAAATGGAAAGATCACCTGTTCAAAAGACTAGCAAGTAGTTCTTCAATCTTAGTTTTAACTTCAACTTCTGATGAACATTTTTTAAATGAATCTTCCTCACTAAAGGACTACCAAAGAAGAACAAATAAGTATTAACATAAACCCAAATAAGCATATCCAATTATCAGTGTGTATGTCAAATAAATATTCAAAACTTTCTTTACCTCTTACGCTTAGTCTGAGCCATTTAGTTCACTCTTATATTAAATCTTTTCATCTGCAAATTATTGTACTCCACTAGAAAGTAAACTGGAAGTCAAGAAAATTACAAAGCTCTAGTACCAATGCCAAGCTTTAATGTGTGATTACAGTGAGGCTCTTAATCTCCTAGGACCTGAATCTCAGTTTAACCTTGGGCAAGTTACTTATCCTCTCTAAAATACAGTATCTTCATCTTAAAAAAAATTACAGGAGGAAAAGGGAGTAAGAGAGGGAGGAAAAGGTATGAACAAACGTTAATATTACCTACATGAAAGGTTTATGGTGATGATTAAATGGGATTATATATATATATATTCTTACCTTACAGGAAAAAAATTAATCACTGTTACCTGGGTGATTATAAACTTTCTCCATTTCTTAAATCATTAGACTACTCTGAAAACAATATTTTCACAAATTGTTTTGCCTCCTATATACAATATAGGCTATTAAAATTAAGCAGTAGTCAAAGTGGCTAACTTGAGATTTAAATACTAATTCTTAGATCCTATTTAAGGATATTTATTAATTTAATATAATAAATAGCCTTCTCACAGGAAAACGATCACGTACTAACCTAATAAGCAAACTGGAACAGTAAGAATACAGTAGTAAAACTGGCAATCTTTATCTCAAATAACGTGACCACCAGCACTCAGTTAAAATAAGTAACACCTTCACAGACCTGAGGTGGTCCTGAGGGGGTCACAGGGGAGTCATCCTCTCCAAAACCGAGCTTCTGGATACGCTGAGCAACTGAGATTCCTAATTCCTTTTCTAATATTTTGGATGGAAAGGTCTGAAGATCACGCACACTACTGATACCCAGTGCTTCCAGACGTTTGGTCGTTTTATAGCCAATACCTAAAGCAAAAAGAGGTACATGTAGTGTTACAATACATTTCTCTTTATAATTAGCTAATTAAAATATTATAAATATTATCAACCACATTTTTTGATACCATAATTTTGGACACCACTGGCATTTTTTTGAGACCAAACTTAAAATTTAATGCCACAGAAATGAATTTTAATACATACATTACTGATAGTCTATAAAAATGTAACCATTTGATCTTCAGAGATACAAATTTGCCCAATGATATGAACAGGTCATTGAACCCCTCAAGAAAATCAGTTTCTCGTCTCTAAAATAAAAAGTGGGCCCAGCTGCTTTCAAAGGTCCTTTGTGGCCCTAATATTTTATGTACAAGCCCAAAATAGAGTTAGTGAAAGACCAACTCCATTCTCTACAGTATTAAACTATGAACCAGGGACTAAAAATAAAGGGGCATATATTTCCAGTTTATAACTTTCATGATCATATTCAAACAATATAAAAGCAGATAAAACTAGAAAAACACTTTCATATGTATAGTTTCCTAATATAGAGTCTCTCCAGAAAACATCAGGATTTTTGGGGGGCTTATGGTTTTCACCAAGGGCCAAGTATGCTTCCCTGCTGACTCAGACAGTCAAGAACCTGCCCGCAGTGCAGGAGTCACGGGTTCAATCCCTGGGTTGGGAAGATCCCTTGGAAGAGGGTACAGCCACCAGCTCCAGGGTTCCTGCCTGGAGAATCCCATGGACAGAGGAGCCTGGAAGGAGGCCACAGGGTTGCAGAGTCAGACACCACTGAGCAACTAGCACACACAAGAGCCAAGCACACAGACTCTATGAGAATTAATTACACATAACTATCATTTTTTAACTTAAAAGAAATACAGTAAAACCAATATATGTTTTTCAAATATATCTGTCTTACCAGGCATTTCCTTTATGTGGTTCAAACTATGAATGAGATCTTGAGAACTTTCAGGTAGTAAGACCGTTTGCTGATTTGGTTTAAAGACGCCAGAAACTAATTTTGCCAATAATTTATTAGATGCCACCCCTGCACAGCCAGTGAGACCAAGCTGATGATATATGGCTTCCCGCATCTCGGCCGCAATCTGAGATCCAACAAGAAGTCTGATGTGCGACGTGTCACGTGGGTTTATAGCTACAGAAAACAGTCAATGTTGTTAAAAGTCATCGTCAAAACGTTGTTTTTTTGCTTTCTTTTCTTTTTTAACAAATGAATTTTTAAAAGATAAAGGGCTTCATCTATATCCAACCTACCCCTCAACACCACCACACTGCTGCACACTTAACTAATCTCTTTGGCTCTTCACAGCAATTCTGTAAAATAACTATCACAAGTGAATTCCAAGAGCCTGTGATAGCAAATACATACTGAGAGTGCTGATTGATTAATAGATTACAAAAATTGTTCTCTCATAAAAAATTCCTCCTGGCACTACCAGAACTTTTACTCATGTTTACCTGGAGGTAAGCATAAAAGTAAAAATGTTACATTAATGATACAGCTAACATTTCAGATTCAAAGGTTTTAATTTCAAGTTTCCACACCAGTAGTGTGCGCTACTAAAAACAATTTTGGATTTGTACACAGTTTAAGACATCATTTATTAAAAGTACAGGGAAATTGCTATATAGAAACAAATTTCCTTAGATGTGAAAATGAGACAAGAGTTATATGAGACAGTACTGATCCTCAGGAGTATTTATGTCTGAAGTGCCATGATGTCTATAATTTACTTTCAAATGCTCAATGACCTATCAACTGATCAATAAGCAGCAAGATAAAGCAAATGTGTAAAGCAATACAAAAGGAGATCTACAAGGAAAGGCATAGTGACTGTTCTCATTGTATTGCTCCATCAACTTCTCTGTAGGTTTAAAAAAAAATAACAAAATCTTATGCGAAAGAGAAAAGAATCATGAAGAATTAGACTTTTTAAGGCCATAAAACCTAGCTCTCTATAGTATGTTCTAACCGGCAGACTCCAAGTTTGCTTTAGAAATTATACAGAAACACACCTGGAACCTCCCTGTTACCCAGACCTTGTAAGTGACAAAGGACACGTGAAAGCTGCATGTTTTCTTACAAAGGAGAACTGGAGCGCCACCTTTCTTCTTTAACATCAGAGAGGTGGAGAATGACTGGGGAGAGTAAGAGGAAGCACAGCAGGGCTGAGACCCGGGAGCAAGGAGGCCAGGACAAATCTTACACAGAAACACAGGAACTCGCCTTCTACGCAGTAGGGTCTGGAAGTCACCAGCAGTCACTAGATGTTTGACAGCCTAAGAAGATATTCAGTGGAGCTGACTGCAGCTTATTTTCAAGCACAATACTGCCCTGGAAATACCATCAGTCATTGGCACTTTAATAGTGAAGGAGATGAATTTTAACTGATTAAATATGAGCATGCAAAGGATGGTAGGTAGGTCAGGATAAGCTCCCACAAGGGCTAATGTGGGAGGGTCTTGTTGCCCTGGGAGAAAAGAAGCCAACAAGAAAAGAGGCAACAAGGGCAAATTTAGTCGACCTAGAATTTTGCTTAAGATGGTTTTAGGAAAACCAAAAATTACTCTAAGAAGTCAACTCCTGTAACCTAAGGATGGCCTAGAGAGGTATGACACTTTTTTTTTTTTTTCAGGTAAACAAGAAGTTTAATAAAAGTGAAAAAAATGACAACACAGTGGGCTGCCAATGGGCTGCTTTAGGAGGTTTGATAAGTTGGCCGGCATGCCACGCTGACTCCATGTGGGTTCTGGGAGGTCACAGGATTGGTCCCTCACACCCCAACATTCACTCTGTATCTTCTGCCCACGGGTGAGGTGTCTGTCTTCCTGGTATCATTTTTGACCAGGCTGGTTCTGAACTCCCTCATCCTGCAAGGAAAGCTGCCCAAATCTGACCTTTACCCATGATGATGGTGATGATGGTCATCTACATCATTTTCTTAGGGTCACATCCCATCCCAGCTTCTGAGGTGGGCAGACAGGTGAAAGCCCATTTTATGGAGAATTAAGGGCTTTGGGAATGTTGGAGTCTCCTCCATAGGAGATAGCCACAGCTCCCAGGATCTCCTGGATCCCCCACAAATCCCTCTGAATCCTGCATGCCCATCTTTCTTGCAAAGTGCTCAGGGTTGCAGAATGCTCAGGCGCTGGTGACAAGCAGGGTCCGAGAGTCTGCAGAGAAAGGAGCCTTGCTGGGCCTGGGCTTCCCTGGTGGCCACCTAGAGCCTGGTCAGTTAGGAGATACTGCTCCTCCTCCGGGGGCGGAGGGCTTTTCTTTTGGCGATGTCCTCCTCCGTGGGTATGACACTTAAAAATGGTTAACACAGGACCGTGTCAGAGAAATGAAAAGTGCACAAAGCACTGAGCTGTATGTCATCAAAATACCATTTTCTGCCTGTTTAATATGGAATAACAATATCTAATTTTAATCGCCTTAGATGGCTGAACTATGGCAACAAAAGCCATAAAACTTTCGAAAGACACAGTCAACTCACTGAACTGATTGAACATTAGGAAATGCAGGTACTTTAAGTTACTAAATAAAGTGCATAAGAACCCACTTACGTTGATTATTGTACACATGACCCGACACAGTTAGTGCTGAGAGTTCATCACTTTGAAGCTGCTCTAGTCTCTTCTCAACCATTTCTGTTAGATCCACAAAATTTTCATCAAACCCAAGTCTCTCAACAACTGGACTAAATTCTTCCAACAGCTCTAAATTAAAATAATATTGGAGTACAGATGTAACTGAAGTTATAACTAGACTAGATTTAACTCTTTTATGTTTAAAAAAATAACAAAATAAAGATTTTACATACATTCACAATTACACAGTATCTTGAATAAAGTCAGTTAACTGGGATTTTTTTTCTGTGTCATATTCTGCACAAAAGCAATGTTTTCCAACAAAATAAGTTCAAAAATAAACATTCCCTGGGCAGATACTCATAGCAATTTATTTAGCACAATCTCCTATGCCAATAATTTATCTGTAGTACATTAAATATCAATGCATGTAGTTAATTATGATCTTGACACAGTAGGTCATAGAGTCTGCTTAGAAAAATAAAGATAAGTAATAATATACTCAAGCTATATTTTTCACTAGAATTTTAAAAAGGAAAAACAAAATAAAATTTAAATTTCCAATTAATACTAAGTCAAAAAGAAAAGTTACTTAATACAAAATATACTACAATGCAATAATTTGACTAGTCACCCTCCAACTCATTCTGTAAGGACAGAAACGGATCGTGACTTACATGTATTTGAACGTCCAGCCTCTAGCACAATGCCTAGTCCTTATGTCAAATGTTTCCTAAATTGAACTGAACCAAGATTTGAAATAAGTTCAAAAAGACTATCAAGTCTCGTTTTTAGGATTAAAACTAATAACTTTGAAACCATTAAGAAGAATTTTCACTTCTCTCCGAATCATCTACTGATACCAGCTGGGTGACAGAAAACAACTTACCAGTCACTAATTACATAAAAACGTAAATGTTGTTAAAGTCCTATAATGTGAAAGCTCTGTTTTCTTGGTGCTAACACTGATAACAGCAGGATAAAACAATTAATAAAGAAACAATATGATCTAGTGAACTTCAAAAATCATTTCCAACCTACCAAGAGATGCATTTATTAAACCTTATGATTATACAAGGCCAAAGGAGTTTATAATTAGAGAAAAAAGTGGAATACTGTAGAATGAAGGTATGAAGTAAACAATAAGGTTGTATGTTATAAATAGGTCTGAGATAAATTCAGTATAGGACTATTAGGCTACATTCCTATTTCAACTCCAAAAATACCATAAAAAATTTAAAAAATAACTTTTTATCAATGTATAAATCATTCTTAGAATATATCTTGTTATTATTTTAGTGCATTTTTAATTCTTTCAAGACACTAATTTATAAATTAAGAATCGGTATAAAAACTGAGATTTATGCATTGATTTTCTAATATGATACTTTTCACTGTGAAGAGTTGCAGTGGTACAGAAATCATTTAGACTGATTAGTCTGACATTATAAAGCAAAAAAGACAAAACATGTATATAAATGATCAAAAATACACAAAAAAATGCTCAAACTTCTCATAGAGAAATGCAAATCAAAACAATGATTTACTATTTTTTTTAACTATCAGGCAAAATCTTTGTAAATATCTAATACTCTCATACATACTAGCAATGTGCTAGGAAAACCTGAAGTGCACCATATAGCAGTATTCAAAATTTCTAATGCAAATTATCTTTGATCAAGCAGTTAACCTTTAGGAACTTACTTTAAGGATATCTTCATGGAGGTATGTGAAAATTCTATATGAAAATGTCTACCGAAGCACATGCTGATATTTTTTAAGAGCAAAAGTTGGTAAGAGCCTAGTAACCCCTCGCTATGAGAGAAATCACATAATTTATCATCTAAAATGAGATATCTTTTGAATGAAAGGAGATACTATTAATGATTACATAAGGACAACAGGCATAAAATGAGATATACTGCCTCCAAATCAGTAAAGGAATGGTTAAATAAGTTTGAGACAGAATAGAAATCCGTGCAGGCCTTAAAAAGAACAAGGAAGAGCCACATGGACGATGTGATAGATCATCAAGACCAAAGACGTGCAGCTGTCTGTGCTCCGTCACCTCTTCTGTGCAGAGACCATTCCTTTCTAAATGCCCGGGTACACACGTGTAACGGTGCACAGACACACAGTGGGCTTTGGGAGTACAGTCTTGGGTTCTCTGCTTGGCTACCCTCTCCCCTCCCCTGAAACAGGTGCCCCTGATTCAGCACCACCTCTGCCCCCGCAGAAGCTATGCAGAGCTAAACAGCGAGTATGCACCCTCTCTTCTCTCTCCTCCTGAGCACACACAGACACACACACGTATGTGCGGGAAGGTGTCTGCATCACTGTTTTACACATATGGAAAAACCTGTATCAGGTTTTTGCATCTTGCTTTTTACCCACTCAACAAGGCATACCTCTATCAATCAAATGAAATTATACCAATGAGCTATTTTTAATGGCCATATAATATTCCATTATAGAGAAGTCCTAAATTCATTTAGCCATTTTCACCCTGATGAGCATGTTTTCATTCCATATTTTTAGCAATTATGAATCATGCTATGAGACATTTTTTTACATATATGTTATCATTTTATTTCTATTTGATAAATCCCTAGAAGTTATACTATTGGGTTAAAGAACATAGTATGTATCTTTAATTTCAAAAAATGCTTCTAGATTGCCTTTTTTTAAGACTGTAATACTTTGTTTCTACTTTTTCTCACATTCTTATTTTTAGTACAAATGAATTTAAGCATTCCATTTTCACACTGTCGAGTCTGCTTTTTTGTCAACTGTCTATTCATATCCTTTGTCCATTTTGCTTCAGCTTGTTTCCTCCTATTAATTTGTAAGAGCTCTGGGATAGTATATTTAACCCTTTCAGCTGAAAACTGCTACAAATAACAAAAGAATAAAAATTATAGCAAACAAGTAAAAAGCTGATTCTTATACACTTTAAAATGATATCTATTTGCCGTATGCCAGTACACATATGGTTTCATTTTTCCTATAATTTACTAAAACAGCAAGATTCAAATCCAAACCTTAGTAAGGGGGAGTTTATCCACACTGAAATATCTAATACACACACAAAAATCTAAAAAAAAAAAAACTAATATACGCATTATCTTTGCTAATAGTTCCTAACAAATTGTTTTGTAATTATGTTAATCAAACATTACAGAAGTCTCTCTCAACTGCCATTAGTACATTAGAGTACAACATAATTCTTCACAGTTCCAGCCTGCATTTAAATATCTGGTTTTATTTATTTCCTTCCATTTTCTCACTTTAAAATTTTTTTACATTTTCTCATATTTATATAAACATCACCCATGACAGAGTTCAATTCCTTCCAACTATACGTTTCTTTCACCATTTACTCATGACATATTAAGTCATTCTCATATAAATTTTTTTAAATGGGAAAGCCCCAAAATAAAAGAAAACTGACTTATGCACTTTACACTTACTAAACAATCATGTAGTTAACAGGCATCCTATATAAAATTTAATGCTGAAAGTATATTGCCCATAATCTATACCTGTAACCTTGTATGACATCTCTCTGTAACGAGTCAGGTCTTCTCCATTAACTAGTACTAGCTGTGGACACTTTTCTTTTGCATCTCTGACACTCGTAAGTTTCTTAACTCCAAGTTTCCTAGCTTCATAGTTGCAGGTAACCACCAAAGATTTCTGCTGAACCCCTATAAAAAACAAATATTAAAAAAAAAACAAATATTTTATGATAAAATTAAGTAGAATTGAAAATTAAAATTTACTTATTCCATATTCTAATTTTAAGTTATAATACAATATTTTGATAAGAATAAAAAGCTCTATCTCAGTTAGAAAATATAGCTTCCATCCATCATAGTTCTATGAAGCACAATTTAACAAATCAGGGGCTTCCCTGGTGGCTCAGATAACATAGAATCTACCTGCAATGTGGGAGACCGGGTTCGAACCTTGAATTGGGAAGATCTCCTGGAGAAAAGAATGGCTACCCACTCCAGTATTCTTGCCTGGAGAATTCCATGAACAGAGAAGCCTGGTGGGCTACAGTCCAGGCAGTTGCAAAGAGTCAGATATGACTAAGCAACTAACACTTTCACTTTCACCACAAATCAACAACTCTATGAAATCTTCAGCAAAAAGATACAAATAAAATCCTTCCAGGATTTTTTTTCAAACAATAAAAAACCAAATTATATTGAATTAACTCTATGTAACTTTACATATAACTCTAGGCCTTGTTTTACCAAAAGTAAGGCAGATGAAAGTAACTGAGTACAATTAACTACTGGTCACTGCTGGAAAATCTAACTTGTCTTCTGAATAACTTCCCAGTTAATATAAAGCTATGTTCTGTTACAGGTGCCAACCTACAGCAGTTTTTAGGAATCTCCCCCAGTAAATGTTCTAATGACTGAGCTTTTCTTCACAGTAACCTACAGAAAAGATTAGACAGTGAAGTGGCATAATGAGCTCGCTCCTTATCAAAAAGATTAAATATGATCACCTACACACTGCTTAAAAATTCTAATGTACCAGTGACTCATAGTTGCTAAAACTATTTGCTTTTTTCTAAAATTCTCATATTATAAACAGGCAAAGAAACATTTCACATATTTTTGATATGTCAGATGATGCCCCAAAACAGAATCACGGGGTCAAAAATAATAAATTATGATTCATCAGTAAACTATATAAAAAAATCAGGTTAGTCACTTCCTTAACTAAAAAAATCAGCCTTTTAAAGCAGGATTATATGGACTCACCACTGAGTCACCAGCCCAAGTTAAGCAGTCATATAATTTGCTAATGGTGGCTCAGCAGTAAAGAATCCACCTGCAAGGCAGGAGACTGGCGCTCGATCTCTGGGTTGGGAAGATCTCCTGAAGAAGGCAACCCACTCCAGGCTTCTTGCCTATTTAATCTCATGGAAAGAGGAGCCTGGCAAGCTACGGTCCATGGAGTAACAAAGAGTTGGATATGACTTATCCACTGAACAAATTAAAATGCAGTAATGAATGATTACCAGGAAATAAGGGATATTATGCGGACAGTTTCTAGAAGAAAACAACATAGCCCCTCATTTTATTAGCAAATATTGTTGTTGTTGTTTAGTCATTAAGTCTTGTCCAACTCTTTTAGGACCCTGTGGACTATAGCCCACCAGATTCCTCTGTCCATGGGATTTCCCAGGCAAGAATATTGGGAGTGGTAGCCATTTCCTTCTCCAGGGATCTTCCTGACCCAAGGATCAAACTCACTTCTCCCACATTGGCAGGCGGTGGATTCTTTACCACTGAGCCAACAGGGAAGCTGGCATCTTAATTTTACAATCCCTCTTTACTAATCATTACTTACACAACATCTTCTTACAATGCTACTAATTAGAAATGCCTAGTGAAGAAAATTCAGGTCCCCTAATCCCAACTCCTTGACAGCTTCAGGAAATTTTAAAGACCCTAGACCTTGGCAAACCAAAATATACTCATCAGTCATCCTCTGTTCCTTAGTAAACTAGGCTGAGCTGAATTGGGCTTTATCAAAATCAAAGTAGACACCAGGGGGTGGCAGCAAGTGACCAAAACTTCTGTTTATGCTTTTACTCAAAGGTAAATTCTTACTACATGCATAAAATAAAATTTTAGAAATTTACTTTTCTAATGTAAAAACAAAATATAAAAATAAGCCAACACAATACTCGGTAACTCCCTAATGTAAAATTTCTTTGCTTTTTATCTTAAAACATACTTATGTTTTCATGAAAAGCTTGTACTATGCATGCCTTAATATTTTGGGTTGTTCAAAATCCAATTACTTTGTCACACAAAATCCAACTATCACACAATTCAATAGTTAATTTCAAAAGTGGGAGAATAGTTGAAAATGTCTATTAAAAATTTTTTTAAAGGCTGTTTTTGAGATAAGATGGCTGTAAAATTTCAAACATTGAGAAAAATACTAGAAGTTTATTGTGGTCTTTCTGTTTATTTGGTTAATTATACTACTTCTGTCAAATTTGCCTTTTAGTAAATGAGGCTCATAAAGTTTATAGCCAGTAGCGAAATAAAGATTACTGTCTATAAAGCATCACAAAACTGCTTCCAACATTAATATGACTAATAGAATAAACATAACAAATCATATCACACAATGAAAATAATATCAAAGTCCAGAATTACCTAAAGGTTTGTCCTTTAGTTCTGGATTGGAGATCATTTCTACTTGTGCGTAAAAGCAATCCAGATCCACGTGTACTATGACTCTACATGAAGAACTTCCTGCTGGCTCCAGCTCATCATGAACTGTGGCACAATATGCAACCAAATGAAAGAAACACATTCATGCTGTTTATCATCTCTGAGCAACTGCCAGTCCCTTAAAACATGGCAACCAAGAAAGAATAGGGTGATTTTTAAGCTTTTTCCCCCCTGGATTTATTACATGTGTCAAAGAATCTAAAACTTACAAGCATGAGAGAAACTCCACCCACAGTAGAGTCCTCAGTCCTGTTTACTATTTCTTTGTGAATTGTATTTTTCTCGGGATAGCAATAAATTTTAAGAAAAAAAAAATTATCAATAATGGAAGATGCAAGAGGTAATCCTAGGACTTTGAAGCTTATTGGAAAATTTAAAGTAAGTCAGAAAGGGCTGAAAAGTTTAAAAACACAAATCTTCCAACCAACTTAAAAGTTATCCTTCCCTGGTGGCTCCTTCTAAGATTTTTAACCTGCCAACGCAGGAGACATGGGATCAAACCCCGGGTGGGAAAGAGCCCGGGAGGAAACAGCAACCCGCTCCAGTATTCTTGCCTGCAGAATTCCACGGACAGAGGAGCCTGGTGGGCTACAGTCCATTCCATGCAGTTACAAAAGAGTCAGACATGACTTAGCGACTAAACAACAAAAAATTATTCTAAGTGGCATGACCTTAAAAAAATAATCTGAAACACAAAACAGCAGACAGACTCTATGAGATCAGGATTGTTTGGTTCAATGCTGAATACTGGATACCTAGACTACCAACAAATACTTGCTAAATTTAAAGATTGAGTAAATATTTCCTGGATTTTAAAAAGTAGTTCACATCTTGGAGGGGGCAGAGGGATAAGACAGGAGATTTCAGCTATTAACAGCAGTTAAAAACAAGGCAGGCTAAATGCCATGTGGTATCCTGGTTTGGAGTTTGGAATAGAAACAAATTAAATGGGAAAAAAAAAAACCCTGGTAAAATCTGAATAAAGCTTGTCCTTCCGTTAAGAATATTAACTACTATGCCAACGTTACTTCCTTTTGACAAATGTATCCATGGTGACGTAAGACATTAAAATTGGTAAAAAGTTATCTGTGCATCTCTCTGTAAACCTAAAAGTATTTAAAAATTTTAAAGCTTTTTAAAAACGAAGGGTGGGGAGGCTGGGAAGGAGAGAGCCTTGGTCCCAAATCCCGGGGGCGGGGCCCCGAGGCTGAAAGCGGGTCAGCAGAGGCGGCCACAAGCACACGTGCCGGCCGGGTTCGGTTCCGAGCCAGGCGGTCCCTTCCGGGCTGAGGCCGGGCCGCAACCTCTGCCAAGTGGGCGACACGGTTCCCGCTTCCGCAACCCTGAGGCACCCGAAGCCCCTTCCGCTTTCGCGGGGCTGTTTGAGGGGAGACGAGCGCAGCTTCCATTACCCCACTGGACGCGCCCGGCCTTCCCTACTGGGCGAAGCCGCCCCTCTCGGGGACCTTGGCCTCAGGACACCATGCGGCGAAGGGCCGCTCTCTCGGCGGAGCGGGAAAACGCGGGACGCGGGCGGGGCAGGGACTGTCGCTCCCCAACGGCCGCCGCCGCCGCCGCCGCCCGGGGAGCCCGCCCTCGTCGCCCCGCCCCGCCTCATTTACACCAAGGGAGGTCGTCGAGCTCGTCAGGCTCCAGCGCCCCCGGCCATCCGCCGGGCGCCCCCGCCTCCGCCCGCTCCATGGCTCGAGTCGCGTCCTCTTCCTCGTCGCTGTCTGCCGCCAGCCTCCTCGGGCTCCGCCCCCCGCTTCTCCATTTCCCTCCCCCCCACCGCCGACCGCCCACCGAAAGGCAGCTTCCGGCCTCGGCAGCCCGCGCTGCGTTCGGAGCCGGGGGCTCGCGCCTGCGCAGTGTGCGCCCAGCCGTGGGCTGCCCGGACGGTGACCGCGGCTGCGAATCCTCTTGACCGGTGTTTGGGACTTCCCTCCTACGTAGCCTTGAAGGAGTGTTTACTATCCCAGACAGCACTTTTTTCTCCCCCTTGCGGTCTTCGAAGTTACGTTCTTGTCACAAGTTTTAAATGTTTATTTTTGTGTAGAAGGCAGCTTGTTCTCCCTGTCACCTGTTAGAAATGCTAACCCGGAGATGAAATTTTATGGGGATGGGGGTGGGGGAAACGATGGAAATTATGGTGAGAGCAAGGCGACCTTGTAAACTAATATGATTGTCTTAGTTGCTCAGTCGTGTCCGACTCTTCATGATCGCATGGTCTGTAGCCCACCAGGCTCCTCTGTCCATGGGATTCTCTGGGCAAGAATACTGGAGTGGGTTGCCATTTCCTTCTCCGACTAATATGATTAGCTATTATGTTAAAATTTGCATTTTGTTGTTTGACTCAAAGATACTGTAATATAAAGATACTATATTTAAAGTGGAAAACTTAACAAGGACCTACAATATAACACAGGGAGCTCTGCTCACTGTTAAGTGGCAGCCTGGATGGGAGGAGAGTTCGGGGGAGAATCCGTGTATAGGTGTGGCTGAGTCCCTTCGCTGTTCACCTGAAACTGTCGCAACGTTGTTAATTGTCCACGTGCCTGTGTGCTAAGTCCCTTCAGCCAGCTGATTGTTTGCCACCCTATGAATTGTAGCTGACCAGGCTCCTCTGTCCATGGGATTCTCCAGGCAAGAATATTGGAGTGGGTTTGACAGTTCCTTCTCCAGGGGATCTTCCCAACCCAGGGATCAAACCCACATCTCTCAGGTCTTGTGCATGGACAGGCAGGTTCATTACCACTCAGTTCAGTTCAGTTTGGTCAGTCAAGTCCCACTCTTTTTGCAACCCCATGAACTGCAGCACACCAGGCTTCCCTGTCCTTCAGCACTCCCAGAGCTTGCTCAGACTCATGTCCATAGAGTNCCAACCAGTCCATCCTAAAGGAGAACAGTCCTGGGTATTCATTGGAAGGACTGATGTTGAGGCTGAAACTCCAATACTTTGGCCACCTGATTCAAAGAGCTGACTCATTTGAAAAGACCCTGATGCTGGGAAAGATTGAGGGCAGGAGGAGAAGGGGACAACAGAGGATGAGATGGTTGGATGGCATCACTGATGAAATAGACATGGGTTTGGGTAGACTCCGGCAGTTGGTGATGGACAGGGAGGCCTGGCGTGCTGCGGTTCATGGGGGTCGCAAAGAATCGGACACGGCTGAGTGACTGAACTGAACTGACTGAACATATGCTTTAATATTCCAATGGATGTAAAACACTTGGGTCATGGAACAATAGAAGGTGCTCAACAAATGTTCATTCTCTGTGCCTTTTGTTGAGATGCCTTATGTTCCTGTGTGTGTTTCTTCCAATAGAGAAAATTTGTGTGTGTGTATGTGTGTACATATATATGTATATTCACACAATTATTTTGATTTTTTTTACTAGAGTCTCTCTTATAAATAGGAGGTGAAAACTTTGAGAAACCCATTAAAGGACATGCTGATGCATCCCGTAAAGAAGAAGAAATAGCAGGCAGAGCTGGGGCTCAGTGGTTGTAGTATTAAGACCAAGTCTTCCTTTTGGGGGTTTTACTCTTAGACCTGTGAACCAGTTTCCTGTAAGTCTCCAGTATAGGATCACATATACCAACTTAAAACTACGCTGCTTTCTGTGTGATTGCCATTTCTTAAGTCTAGATAAAGTGCTTTTGAGTTGAGTAGCTCTTTGGCCACTTACTACCTCTTTGGCTATCATCACTGGTACCATTGCTTGTAGACAGCTAAGATGCATGTGTGTGCTCAGCCGCTCAGTCATGTCCAACCATTTTGCAACCCTATTTACAGTAGCCCATCAGGCTCCTCTGTCCATGGGATTTTCCAGGCAAGAATACTGGAGTAGGTTGCCATTTCCTTCTCCAAGGGATCTTCCCAACCCAGGGATTGAACTTGTGTCCTCTGTGTCTTCCTGCATTGGCAGGCAGATTCTTTACCACTGAGTCACCTAGGAAGCCTGAACATCTAAGGTATTTTGTTGTAATTTCTCCATGTTGAGAACAATGCAAACCAGAGAAATACTATGCCAGATTAAAATAGTTCCTTTATAAGAGCCCTAGGCTCACTTAACACTCAACAGCTTGATTAACTGTGAAGAAGCTTTGAAAAACGACACCCATAATCAAACCCTGTTTGGTTAGTTGAATATATGTCCCTCTGAATTGTGAAATTGAAGAGTGACTTTTAATTTAGTAGAAGAAAAGACAAATGGAATCTTAAAAGCCTAGGGGAGTGAGCTGGGCTCACTTTGTGAGTGTATTACGACCTTTGTAATAACACAGAGCCCCAGTCTTAGAAGGGCCCGTCACTTGGTTTAGGTTGGCCCATCACTTGTTCTGCTGTTGCTGTCTTGAAATTCTTAATTTTTGAACAAGGGAGCCTTCATTTCCATGTTGCACTGGACCTCAATTATTTAGCCAGTGCTGGGAACAAAGGAGGGAAGCAGCATAGAAAACGATGTTTATAAAACACTTGTGTGTCAGGCATAAGCCCAGCAGCATACAAGCATAAAATTCAATTTGCTTTGGAGGGTGGGTATCATCAGTTTCATTTTACCAAAGATGAAACAGGCCAGCAGAAACTAAGATGCTTACTCAAGGTTATGCTTCTAGTAATGGTAAATCCACTTTCCAGAGTTTTCCGTAGAGAAGAATTTAATGAGAATGTTTCTTCCACCAAAGAAACATTTTCTGCCCATTTTTCTTGGTGCTTCCTTGGCCAGTTTGTATTCTTTTTTCCATCCCTTCCCAACTTGCCATCTGCTGGTCAACATTGTACTTTGCATTTTCTAGAATTTCATATAAAGGGAAATTCTCCAGTTACTTTTATATGGCTGTTTTCACTAAGTGCATAGATATATTTAGTGCTATTCATGTATGTGCAAAAGCATGGCATTAAATAAGAATAAGTAAGGCCCTGTTATGTGTTAGAGCTGCATTGTTTATAAGCAAATGTCCTTTTATGTACTGACAATCACTGAGAAAAAGAGTTGTTTAAAGTGAGAAGTGAAATTGCAACTAAGTAAATTGAAATTGTTTCATATCGATTCATCATCAATAAGAGAAGTTTGAACCATCTGCCTCATTAAAAAGAAAACCCCCCCAGACAACTTGGGTATATTAGGAGGCATAAAATAAAATTTACTTAAGCTAATATGTGTTACTTTGTTGTGGGATGAATTAGGGAAAGCTTTTCTTTTTTTTAATCGATAAATTCCTTCCCCCAGTTTTAATTCACTGGCCCTAAGATCATTTCCAGAAATAAACATTTTGAGCATGAATCATAACTGTGTATTTAAGTGCCAAATAAGAAAAACAATTGCAAAGCAGAATAAACATTTAATTAAAGAAAATTATGTTTAATATTCATGGGGGAGCATGGGTTTTGCCGACTGTGGGTAATGGATAAAGAAACTGGGGTCATTCACAAGCATCTGGAGTCAAGACATTATGAATTGACAGACATTAAAAGTGACGAGTACGTGGACTTCCCTGGTGGTCCAGTGGCTAAGAATCCGCCTGTCAGTGCGAGGACACAGGTTCCATCCCTGGTCCAGGAAGTCTCCACACGCCACGGGGCAACGAGCACAGCTACTGAACCCTCAGGCCACAACTACTCAAGTCCATGTGCCTAGAGAGTCTGTGCGCCACAGCAAGAGACACCGCCGCGCAGAGAAGCGTGTCACAGCAACTAGAGAGTAGCCCCACTCAAGTCCGGGTGCAGCCGCAAAGATCCAGCACAGTCCAACAAAACAGTGACAAGCATGCAAGTCCACATCAGGGAAGCCTGGGAAAATTACCAGCGCCTGCTTCTCGCCTTCCAGCCAAACCGGCCACGTATGAATCAGAGGAAGAACTCTAGACAACGTTCAAAGGCTTTGCCGTGAAGAGTGTGAGGGCGTTTATGAGTGTCTATGTTTTATGCCAGTGGTGACTAGGTAAGTAGAGGTTAACTGTAGGGCCAGAGAAACAATTTGACTTGGCGAGAGCCAAGGGCCTTGTTTTGTAGCCTTTGACTTAGTGCAGTGCTTCTCACTACAGTGATTTTGTCCCCTGGAAAATATTTGGCAATATGTTGGAGAAAATCTTGATGGTCACATCTGGGAAGTTCCAACTCTTCATTACTGGCATCTAGTGGGTAGAGACCCAGGATATTGTTGAATACCCTACAATACACAGGACAGCCCTTTACGATAAAGAATTATCAGCCTCAAGTGTCAGCTGGGCCAGGCTTAGGGAACTCTGGCCTCATAGTGTTTACATCATCCTGCTCCCAACTCCTTCCTCATCTTGAGATCCCCAGTTGTAAACAAATAATGTAGAACTGGTCTTTGGTTATGTGCTTTTAATTATAAATAGGATAGTTTTAGAGAAAGGAAGATATAAGAGAGGGAAGCAAGAATTATTTACTTGATTTTCATTGTGGAGATTTACGTTCGGAGGCTAAAAAACAAATGAATGCATTGGCTAGAAAAGAGATTTAAGAAAAATATTCACACTTTTATGAAGCTTGTGAGATGCCCCCAGGGTGAAAGGCTAATGAGTCAGAAATAATTTACAGGGCTTAGTAGCTAAAACCAGAAAGCACAGAAAGGCTACACATGGTTGCCAGCAAACTAGAATTATGGCATGCAGTTGTATAATGTGCCTTTTGTACAGTGTTTACTAAATAACATTCATCCAAGGATCTCACACCCTTTGCATAAGTTTTTCAATTGTCATGAAAAAACTGTCTTCTGTCTGTCTCTCTCTTTTTTGCACATGACATT